TGCAGTAAATCAGCTTGGCCAACTCTCGGTCGAGACAAACAATGCACACCATGATGAAGGTATTGTTGAGTTTACGCCCTACAGGATGCTCCAGCTAACATCAGAACTGAGCGGTTCCGTTCGCTAACTATTATGCAACGGACCATCAATTACATGGAAAATTGCTTGTACATTATTTATGATTATATGTATTATACAAACCTACCAGTGACTTAAGAGTGACAACAAAAGAACAAGAAAATATATTTGCTCTTTCTGACCATTCAATAATTAGTTTTGTTTTATTATTCCATTCTCAGAAGCACTAGAATTGATGGAAAAATCATTTACATACTTCTTTTATAACTTTGACAGAAGTTCTAAATAAAAATTTACCATGAAAATGAGCAAGAAATCATCTGTTGATAAAGCCTTTTCTAAATTTTAGTATATTTTTATATTTGCCGGCTTTGAATATGTGAGGAAAGTAATAAATTTGAAAAGAGAAAGACTTTACGATGAAATGGAATAAAGGAAATTATTCTTACGATGAAATTTTTACTTTTTAATTTAAATTTCTTTTGTACATTTTTGGATTTGATGTAAAAAATTTAATTCAATGGTTTCCAAAATGATCTACAGACCGTAGAAAATTATTTACCAAAATATAAAACATGCACATAAATTATTGATCTGTATAATACGACATAATTACATTTAAACTTATATGCTTTATGTTCTTTCTTTCTCATTACCAAATGAATAAATAACAGATAATGCAAACCCTAGAATTAGACACAATGAAAAAAAAATTTTTAAGACTTATAGAACATTTCAAAATGATAAATAACTTCGAAGAAATAATAATCAAGTATTAGTAAAAGTTGTGAGCGAAGTACATGAAATAAATAAAAGGTCATTTAAAAAAGCAATAAAGTAAAGCTAGTAGTTATAGGCGTGCGAAAGAGGCACATGCATTAGTCCTTGTATGAAACTATAATAACATATAAAATATATATGTTGGATACCCACGACAGAACGAACATTCATAGTGGCATTTATCAACATCATCACATAAAGCATGTCTATAAATTAATTTTTATCACCACCGATATCATCAGAGTAAATATCCTACAATTGTGGTCTCGGGGGTGCATTACAATCTGCATGGATTAAGGGATGATTGTTGAGTAATATCCATATTTCAACTTTCAATGTTATAGTGACTTTATACGTCAATGGATCTCATCATATAAACACGTCTGAATGCGGCATCAAAATGGTACGTCAGTGATCTCATCCCTTAATAGTCTCTTTTGGTAAGACAAACTTTATATGTGTGGCACTTTCACAAGCTATAAATAATTCCGAGGGTTAACCGACAGCGGGTCTATAGATTACATCCCCCTGAGCTAATAAATACGTTATTGTCTGGCGCAAATGATCTATAGCACGCTAAGACTTTTATATATAGACGTATGTACAAAAATATATTCTTTATACATAACAATATTCTCAATACACACGTGTACTTTTTGTGCTCAGTATTACTCAAGATCTGTATCAGTATTTCTATTGGTGTAACTAATTTATTTATTTTATTCTCCCTTGAGGCTTTAATTAATCATAAACAAAACGACACTATTAAATTTGATGTAAAAAAACATAAATAGATATTGATAAATTTTTATATTAAATAAATATGGTTTTAAGTTTATTTTTAAAATTTGAATTAATTAAAAATTTTTTACAAAATCATCAATCAATAATAATCAAGTTATTTGTTGCTATAAAAATAAAAACCAATTTCTAAAGAGCTATTCGTTATCAAAGACTATTTTTTCCAGAGGAAAAAATATTTTGACTGTTAAAAAATGTTGAAGCCAATGTTAATGAATATTTAAAACCACCCGAGGGCTATTTAAAAAATTTAAAAAATACCATTCAACGATATTGTTAATAAATTATTCTCTAAAAATATATGTATAAGACTGTCTGGATAAATATTGACCAAAAAAAAAGATGAAAAACCATTTTTGATGTGGCTCGTCAACAGACCTTGATTGGAAGTGGCAATCAATCAATTCCACCCCTGTCAATTGTCATATATATTTTTTCATTCTTGGGCAAGTAAAGTATCATTGACATCCCACAAAATGGTCGATTTTCACCCCTCCTCTAAATGCACTATATAGTAAAACTATCACATGCATCATATATCAAGTTTTATTTTTCATTCTTCCTCGAATAATGTGATATTGTTATACTTTACGATCAAAATTCATAATATAAATCCATTTATCATTGTTGACGCAGAGAATATAAACTTGTGCATCGTTGACAGGATTTGACTTAGCTTGTAATATATAACATGTGGTAAAAAATACATGAATAATTATTCGCAATCAACTGTAGTGTGTCCTGAGTGACAATTCAACATTTTATCCTGTTTCATCGATTTTTTCTGTTTACTCTTTAATAAGTGTAATCATTTGTTGTTATTTCTGTTATCATCAAAATCATTATTATTGTCATCAATAAATATATATTATACCTACTGATTAATGTTTCGTGAATTCATATTAATTCATTTTTTAGAATTTTTATAATTAAATATTGTTAAATGATGTTTATTACCATGAAAACAATTCCGCTCCAATTTCAGAAATTAATTCTTAATAAACGATAGTTTAAATAACAATTTTTCAAATTCGTTTGTAAGAATATTAATATATCACTAAATATCTTTTATTTCTTATAATATTTTTAACGACATAAATTTTATTAATTCATTAGAAAAAAAATTAATTTTTTGGTACTAATATAAAGGCCAATCATCAAACATAACTCATTATTTTACTGCTCTAATAACAGTAAATGATAGTAAATCTAAAAAAATATATATTTCACTTGATAAAGAGAACAAAGTTCAGATCTGTTTTTATTTTATTATACATTACCAAATACAGTGTATCAACTATTATAAAAAAGAGCTACTTAATAGAAGGTATAAAGTAATAGAAGGTTGTTACTTACATGTCGCATATGTACACTTGCACATATAAACGTTAAAAATAAATCTCTATATGTAGTTCTAACTTAAAGATACAAGATTATTATATCATTTTGATTTTCCACTTTATTACTATGCCGGTGAACATAAAAGAGATTACAATTTAATTAACATCGTAAAGAATTACTTTTTTTTACAACCGTGCTATAAATGATCAACGTCAAGACAGTATGATGATGAAGAAGAAGACAAGAATTTTTTTTATTACCATTTTTATTTATTATCATTCATGTAACTGTCCCAGATTTATCTATGTATTCTCCGGTCATATCTTTATGACCTATTTATTTTTCATAATTCTTTATATTGACTATGACCATGCTCTGGAAAAACTATATGAATGATATTTTATGTCTGTTATTCTAAAAAAAATTGTTTAAACTCTGTACATTTCCTGTTCCTTTTTCAAGTAAATAGCGGAAGTTATTTGTTTGAGTTTTCAACCAAGGTGTATTATTTAAATACGAAAAATATGTAGGCTTCATGTAGTTTTCAGAAAGTTGTAATTCATCATAACTTATATACAATAGATTTTTGCAAATAGAATATTCATCTATAAATCAATTCAAGTTAGATAAATACAGCTTTAATAACTACAAAATCTACACTTTGATGAATGATTGAAAATTTTAAAAAATAATTTGCAGCTTAATAGCTGTTGGTTACAAAGCTTTGATTCTGTGCTTATTGAATAAAAAGTGCATTTTAGATTTCTTTTAACCACATTATTCGCGTAGTAGTGAAAAGGATGAAATAACAGAGAAACTGAAAAATTTGTACCAATAAATTGATAAAACAATTGTAAATCACTCTGAATGACAAATTTTTTTGTTACACTTTTTTTTTATCAATAAAACTTTTATTATTCGAGCTTTTAATGTAAATATACACATTAAAATCATTTTTTTTCAACTATCATACTTAAAATAGTATTTTTCTAACCATCCAATAATATATTCAAATCGAATTAGATATAGCCCTATGGGGTTAAAATTATGATTAAAGTTTTAAATTTAGAAAACTCATTATTTTCCCTAGTTTAGATTAAATTTTAATATAATCAATACCGGATGTAGTCCATTGGTTTTTAAATGACTATTTAATAATTAATTAATCCATCAATTAAATTTCACCTTAATAGCGAGTGTTAATGAGAGAATATTAAGATATTCTGTGCTCCCAATAAAAGAAGAATTTCAAAATTTTTCTTATTCTTTAATAAAGTTAAATATTCAAGGGGGTTTTATTAATGGCCTTTAGAAACTTTCAAAATTAATTACAATTACTAATAAATAATAAATAAATTCGTTAATAAAGTTTTAATAAAAAAAAAGTATAAATGAAGACATCAACATTGGCTGCATTCTCGATAATGATCCATTATTCTATAAATTAAGGCAACTTATTTAGTTTCAATGTAAAATATTTAATAAAATTTTATGGATACTTGGTGAAGTCTTAAACTCGATGACTGTGTCTTAATAATTCAGAAACTGTTAAGTACAATCAAACTTTAATCGCAAAAACTTTTTAGTAAACAACGTATAAATAAATAGATAATGAGTATATTGTAAAGATGATAGTAATAACTATAAGATTGAAGGTGATACAAAGGGTGAGCAAAAAAATAGGTGAAGGAGAGATTGAAGATGAAGGGAGGTGAAGAGAAAGAGACTAGGGGTTCCATGCAAGTTGACACGTCGTTGGCCGGGTCGGTTGTGCTCGGTAAAAGTGTCGGCAGGGCGCGAACCAACAACGACCGCCGGGACACGACCGACACCGTGTCGTGGTGGCCGTAGGGGAAAGAACTCATGGTGCGCAGTGGGGGAGGTTTCCCTGGGGACTCGTTGGGGAAGGAGAAGCATCAGCAGTGGAGTCACAGTACACTAGAGTAGTGGGGTGAAACGAGAAAGCTTGACTTCCAACTGGAGAACAGTCACGGCTTGGAGTCCGCATTGACAAGTTTGTTGGTGGATTGTTGTAGGTTCTTATAATTAGTCGCTAACAGTTTTACTACTTTTCATCGCCGTCAAACATCATAGAAGTGTAAATTAACTACTTTTTGTGTTTTTTCATGTAAAAAAAAATTAATTAAAATAAATGAAACTCTGTTTAAAATTGTTTATTAAATTTAGTAATAAATGAGTATTTATTTATTCCACTGTTTAAACATTTAATAATTAAAAGAACCAATTATGCAGTGAATGGAGTTTAACTAATTAAAGGATTAAAAAAAAATAAAACAAACAATAATTGAAGCGAAAATCAGTTGGATATGAAATAAATAATTCAGTTTAAGTAATTATTTATAAATATTGCAGATGGAAAATAAAAGAATTAGTGAAAAGTCCGGATTTATATGTTTGTTGTCAGATAATCTGAAAATAAAAAAAAACACCACAATTAATTCATTTACTTTATCTTTATATAATATATGCATACAGTGAACAGTGTTGGTTGGAATGTAGTGATTAGTTTGAAAAGTTTGTAGAGATATAATCGAATGGGTAACTTGTGTATGACAAATGTGTCAATAAATCATTGATGAATTGATTAATTGAGTTTTCTTTGTAAAATGTTAATGTCCAATGCAAATCAGTATCTCCGTCCGGAATACCTCACGCCACTACCAACCACGGTTAGTTAACTATTTTAATATTTAGTATGAAAATTTAATTATGTAGTAGATTATTATTGTGCCTATAGAACATTCATTATTTATTCTTTGAAATGATTATCTTCTATTAGCTAACATTATCATATCTCTTCTGCTTTAATCATTAATTATACACATTATCTATAACGAGTAATTTGTTTATTTAAATCAAACTAATTGCTAAGAAATTTTTTTAACATTTATTTTAATTGTAAACGAGCTACTTTATAGAATTACTTTTTTAAGAGAGTTCGTTAATTCATTCATCTATACTCCATTTTGCGAGAAAAATACGTTAACTGAAAAATTAAATGAAAATTAATATCAATATTTTCTGAAGATAATTATGTCGATTAAATTGTAGTTAAATAAATTAAGTATTTTCAATAGAATTGTTGATTGATTCAGTAGAATACTTACTATAAATCATTAAAAATGTAATGATAAATTGATGTTCATATTGAATTATATTCTAGTATTTCAAAAATAATAAATTATAAAATAGCACTGGTAAAAGGTTAAAAGTAATACATAAAATTATTTCATATCGCGACGTTTGCATGATCGTATTATTTGAATTGTAAAAACTCATAAATGCATATGACATATTGTAACATACAATTTACTTTAATGACTTTTTGTTTAAAATACGTTGTAAAGAAGAGAAAAAACTCCATAAACTCCATATCTAAATACCAGGAAAATTATGACAAAGTTGTGCATCCTGCATCACGTAAATGAATGAATTGTTAATAAATGTGATTTTTTAGTAGTACAAAAAAATAACTAGGTTATTCAAATAAGATGTATCATCAGATAGATTACTGAAATTTTCGTTACAAATTATACTTTGCTCTACAAAATGTATATTTTGTTAATGTATACCCGAAAATACCTCTTTGAGGGAATACATGAATAATTTGTAAAACACTATTATATACATATATGCATTTTAAACACAATATATGAATATATAATTTTTGAATTAATGTTCTGTAAACTAACTTATACACATAGCATCAACAAAAACCACAAAGTACGCCTGGTATGAATATTTTTCAATAAATTATTATTATCATTTTATAAATGATGGTGAATAGATATCTCACTATTTTACTCCATTCAATAAATCCAAAAATATAGACGGAAATATTTTGCAATAATAGTAATTAAACCTGTTATCTTTCTAGTTGGATGCTAAAAAGAGTCCATTGGCTCTACTAGCTCAAACATGCAGTCAAATCGGAGCAGATACATCATCAAAACCTTTGCTGACATCATTGGACAAATCAAATTTAAACAAACCATCAAAAACTGGAGAAAAATTTGAGTCGAAAGACAAATCGTCCCCTCATGCTAATATTAATGCATCAGAGACTGTGAAATCCAGCTTTAAACCATATGAGTCATGTGTCACCAGAGACAAAACATCCAGTCCTGAAGAACCTGTACGAGCACCTTCAAGTCAATCAACGTCAGGTCGATCAAGAACACCAGGAAATAGCAGTAAACGATGTTCGAGTAATCAGAGTGCTTCATCAGCAAGGGCGACTACTCCTCAGGGTCGTAAAACTGCTACGCCAAATGGAAATGAACAAACTCGTGAATCACCGGCATCAAGAACCAGCAGTTCAGACATTTCATCATCGCAAATCTACCAAGTTCCACGAAGTGATAGTTCTCCTTATCTAAAACCAACATTCAGCCCCTCGCTGACAATTACTGATCCGTCGATCAAGGATTTCCCTCTAGGGACGTTTAAACCTGGTTCAAGTGTCAGTTCAAGTATACCAACAGCAGCTGCAGTTTCTTCAGCTTATCTCAGTTACCCACCCCAACTGCCTATTGATGTAATGGCAAGCTCATTAGTCTCTCAGCATCACGCTACATTGAAAAATGGGTTGGGAAATTCATTTCTAAGCTATGCACGTGTAAAAAACTCATCTGGAACAGAAAGCCTCGTTCCTGTTTGTAGAGATCCCTACTGCACCGGCTGTCAGCTTAACTCTCATCTACTTGCGGCAAGTTCAACCGCTACGACAACGACAGCGTCTACAAACAGCAAATTAGTGAACACAACAACTAGTGTCGGTATTGGTAATGTTAACAACCCCAACCCATCCTGTCTTGCTGGTTGTGTTCAATGTGATCACAAACCCGTTACAAATCTGTACGGATCAGTGGGTTCTGCTGCTCATGTCAATGCAATGGCTGCCTATGCACATGCACAATTAGCCGCTTTAGCAGCAGCATCACAACTACCCTACATTTGCAACTGGATTGCTGGAGATACTTCATACTGTGGCAAGAGATTTTCCACTTCCGAAGAATTGCTTCAACATTTGAGAAGTCACACCAGTGTATCAAGTGATCCATCTATCAATACTGCTGCTGCTCTATCCTTTTTCAACCCAACAGCTGCTGGACTACCTCCAAATCACCCTTTATTTTCTAGGACGTATCCCACTCCACCTTTAAGTCCACTAGCGACAGCCCGTTATCACCCTTATGGAAAAGCTTCCCCTTTATTACCACCCTCGTTATCCTCTCTTGGACTAACAATACCTCCAACTCCTCCACATCCTGTGGCTGTTGCTGCATCATTACCTCCATACTTATCACCCTACTCCCTCTACAGTACTGGTCCACGACTTGGCGCTACTTCCAGCCTTCATCACTGAGTGCTACTTGACTTTTAACATCCAATTGCACTGGGTTCAAATGTCTAACTGTGATTTTACCGGGTTCGTGCTTGTAATAATAGCGATCCTGTCTGTTGTATTTTTTTTCTAGTAAAAACTTGTCTGTGAAATATGAGATAAAAATAACATATGTATATTATGTCATATTTTGCTTACTTTTTTTTAATAATCCTGAAGTATTTTAATAAATTCATTCAGTAATATTAGTTTATAAAGAAAATAAATACTTTTAATTATCAAATATTATAATTTTTCAATTGTTTAAATTATTTGATGCTATTACTTAACAAGTATCGATTGATTTGTTGATAAAAAAAAATGCTTAAACATTTTTTCATAAAGTATTAATACAATAAATCTACAATCGATGTCAGATAAACAAAGATGTTAAAATATTTAGCATTCAGAATATAAATGAATAATATTAATAATAATGTTATTTTTATTGATTAACTTTTGACAAATTGTTAAAAGCTAGTAATAATTATTTTTCTATCCAAACACTCAAATAATTAAGAATCAGTTTAGTCAAACGAATTTTTAAAAATTAACAAAATGATATGTCATAAAGAATTGGGTCATCATTATTACTATTAAGTTCATAAACACAATCAACAAATAAAATATTTATCTTCTTCAATTTAAATATTTTTTAAACGAAAATCGTTCGACATAATTGGAGCGTATCATTTTGCTCTAAAAAATAATTTGGCTCAATTTAGTATACAACTAGAAAATTATTAAATTGATTCAATATCCAATCATAACTCAAGTTAATTATGGTGAATTTGTTCATAAAAACTTTGAGTTTGTATGTACAAACTCTTTAAAAACCAATAAAATATGTGGTTATTTCAAATATAACTACAATCATATGACAGTTATTCAATGTCTATTTTTTCGTAACCAAAGTTTCAAAAATGAAATTGTTACATTTAAAATAATAATACAACATTGTGTATCATCAGCATATTCTGTATCAAAAAAATGTGAATAATAATTTATCATGCACATAGGAAAAAATTTTTGAAATTATGCCATGTAAATAAATCAATCATTCTGAATATAATGGATGATGATTAATGATTATATTTAATAAAAATAATATTAAATAACTAATAAATATGTACATTTCATAAATCTTAGGCATTTTTTCCATGCCTTCGACACTTGCTCACAAAGCCTAACTATCTTTTAATGTTACATAAACGGCATTATATTTCATCAATAATAACGAAAATTTATAATAAATTTTTGTCTCATCCAACCCGAAGTTATATTATATAAAAAAATAAATAAATGTCATTATGTAATTTTTTATTGCATCTAATTGATTCTCTATTTGTGTTATGTTGATTTGTTTATAAATACAAAGATTTTTCTCATTAAATTGAGTCTTCCGTTATTTCATTTTCAATCCCTCCAAAATTAATATCTAAATACAAATTAATTATTAATCTTTCACACTTTTTCACTTTTAAGTAAAAAAAAAAACTAATTTCATTTAACAAATTATAGCTGAAAACAGATGGTAAAGTAAAAAATCTAAAAAAAATAATCACTTGCCGACCACGGCAAAGATACTAAGCATATGTTCCATTAACTATATAAATTTGACTCAGTGATTCGCTTAGCTCAATTATCATAGCTGTTTGCACACACATTTTCTCATTAATTTTTTTACAATCGTAATTAATATCTGTTGGAAGATCCATGGAGAGAAAAAAAATAAATTCGACAAGAGAAGTCGTAAAACAGAAAAATGACTCGCAACTTTTTAGTTTGACCCTTTTTTGCACATTAAAAAATCACTAAAAGTACCTTTTCGCACATAAAAGACTAAAAAAAAACCAACTACTCCATCAAACATCAAATAATAATAATAGACTTCACCCTTTTTTATAGCAGCAACCAAAGATTTATTATTTAATGGCTAAATTTACTTGCTTTTTATGAGATTTGCAATTTTAAAAAAAATAATGAATTCTTTCATTTATGCTTAAAATAATATTTTTGATTACTTGTTAAAACATAGATCAGTATAAAAGTTTAATAATGAAACACTGAAAAAAAATGTTTTTTGTTTTAAAAGTAGAATTACTTTGTGGGTGATTTGAAATATTTCCTCTTCACTATTTGATTTTCATTACTATTTAAGAAATATTCATTAAAAACAGAGTATTAATGTAGAATGGCTTTTTTATTTTAATTGCTTGAATAATATTCCATAGAAAAGCCATCAGGATAAAATAAAATCATTATGATGGTATAATAAAGTGTAATCATGAAAAAGAAATTACAGAAAATTACTGTCATAAACTCAATACTGCAACTACATCTGCAAGTAATACAAAAACGATTTATTATTTATTATTCATATATTCTGTGTAAAAAGTATTATAATGATTTGTTAAGCAATTCCCTTGTTTCTCACATATCATTTATATATAAAATACCGTGATGTGAGAGAGTCGATCCAGCAACTGGACGTTCCATGAAGAGACCAACCATCAATTATATCTGTTGAATTATACAAATGTCTCATACTATGTCAGTTATTACAACCTATTACTTATTATCATCCCCTTATTTTCCTTCTTCTTTACTCCGTGTATATCTACACTCCATCATGTAAATATAGACATTAGTATTTTTTCCGGTTACATTATTTCTCGTTAAAATAATTATGATTACAATAAAAAGTTGAACTAAAATGCCCTGATGAGTTTGATGCTGATAACTTTATTCAAGAGAATTATTTCTTATCGAGATTAAGTTAGTTTGTTGCATGATATATATTTCCTCGTTTATATGTAATTCTACGAAGAACGATGTACTTGAAGTTTCAATGGTAACTAAACTGTAAATCGAAAGTGTGTTAAAATAACACACCGTGACCATGTTCAATGTTATATTGCTACACACAAACTATAGATCTTTATAGTCACTTCTGACACACTTCAAGGCGTATTAAAATCTATAGTTTATTTATGGAGTTTAACATTCAACATGTGTAGATAAGTTTACTGTAACACACCTTGGATTTACAGTGATTGTCATCAACTCTAGGACATTTTTAAACTTCAAAATATTTTTAACTTCCCAGTGGGAAGTTATAGTAATGGGTCCGATTTTGCGAATCGCTAATTTTGACATATCTCCACGTTTTAAGGTCCCCAGAGTTGAATACGATAGTTTTTACGTGGATGTCTATGTGTGTGTATGTACGTATGTGCGTACGTGCGTTCGGAATTATTTTTCGCCTCGATTATCTCGAGAACAAAAAATGATATCGATGTGGGACCAATTGCATTCGACGCGTAATTACGTAACTTAGAACTGAAAAAGTTTTCACGAAAATCGGTAAAGCCATTTTTTTGGCAGGATTGAGAAAACAGCATTAAAGACGCTATAATAGTCAATAATATGGAATTGTGTTCATAACAATTGAACATTGTTACTAACAAGTGATTATTGATCATGGTAATATTTGAATAATAAGATTTAAATTGTTATAAACAATAAAAATCGGGGCCCTTTCTATATATATGAGTACTTTTAACGCATAATTTTTTCGTTTACTAAAAAAATGTTACCAACCGTATGCCATAAATGAACACATACTTTTTTCGTGTATAACAATGAAATTTGTTGTAAATAATGAAAAAAAGGATCTATGAGGTATATTTGAATTCTTCTAACGCACAATTTTTTATTTTACTGAAATAAAGTAACTAACCATATCAAATGAATAAAAACAGACTCATTTCGTTTATAACAATTCCATTTGTTATAAAAAATGGAAACGGGTTCTATTCAAATTGTTTTTTGATTTTTTCCACTGGGAAGTTGGTCGTGTGGACCTTTCGGGTCGCACCCAGACCACTGCAGAGCACTCATATTTCATGATGATTTTTACTAAAAGTAATTGAAGAACGGATTATTTAAGTGCAGAAATAAGGTTTGCTGCAAATCGTAGGGTTGATATTTTCGTAAAGACTTTTAGGCATCTTCAGAATGTTTATATAAAATTTCAGTCCGGTCGACAATTAACAACTGTCTTTTATAAATTGATGTCAATTGTCAAATTTATGAAATATATTCAAGGATTATTTCAATTAATAAGAATATAAATGAATAATTAAATTGAAATATTTTTGATTATTTAAGACATTTGTGACAGAAATAGTGAAAAATATTTTTCCTAAATTTTAAACAAACTTTAAGATGGTCTCATACTGGATATTTTTTTTTGCAATGTTATTTATGGATATTAGTTGGTTAAATAATTAGAAAAAAAAATAATCTATGTAAGTAATGTTTCATAAATAATAAACCGTAAATAATTGAGTTATCGTATTAAAAAGTACTCGATTAACGAATATATTTTGTTCAGCTATAAGGTATTTTGTTTATTTTCCATTTCCACGATTTTCCACCAGAGAATACAATAATGTATATCCAATGTGTAAATCCACTGACTAATTTTCTACTAGATAATAATTAGCAACACGCATCATTCATTGTTTGCGTGTTAAAACGTCAAATAAAATTATTGGGAAAGTTCTTATTACGTTGACGGTAAAATATAACTTGAAACTAATTTAGACCATCATACAGATCGTGACGAGAATTGATGTTAGTGGTTATAAATTATGTATTTCAATTATCATAATTAAATTCATTACTTTATGATTTTTATCAAATTTTTTTCTGTTTAATTCTATCTTATAGAATCATATCCTATTCTTTTATATTACATGATATTAAATATTTTCAAGTGATAATATGTTGTTAGTAAAAAAAAATAATAATAAGAAAGTGACAAGATTGTCATCATTTAATTATAATACATGTTGAATAAAAATTATCACTTCACAAATCTTTTCATTATTCAGAAAAATAACTTGCTCGTAGAAATGAGTAATAAAAAAAATTGTATAAATAATAATCGATTATCCTTACAATTTATCAGAAAGATTTTTGCTATATAAAATATTGTCGGATTGATTTTCCAGTGCAATTGAAAAAACGCATAATTTGTTGATTAAGATCAAATAAAGTAATTCAATAATTGAATGAAGATTTTTTTGAAACACAAAATAAATAAAATTAACAATT